CCCCAAAACCCCAAAACCCCAAAACCCCAAAACCCCAAAACCCCAAGAAAATGAAAAATAATTGAAATTTAATACATTATTTAAGAACTACTTCAACCCGGGTAAAAATTCAAAATGTCCAAGAAACCCATTCACAATATTAACATGAATCTAATGGATTTGAAAAGCTCAACGTCTCTGCCCACAACTTTTGAGGGAACTCACAACGGGTCGAGTCCTGCAAGAAGAGGTAGTCCCAAGCACATAAACGCAAAGCCCAAGTCTCTTAAGGACAGACTCAGGGATAGGAAAAGAGAGAACACAAGAAATTTAAATTTGCTTGCTACTTGTTTGGAAAAGTCCCAGATTGGTCTAGAAGAAATTCGTCAAGCTAAGAAGGAGATTTTGGTACAGAAACAGCAAGATATCGACAACGCTGTTGCCAGCATCCATCATTCTACTGAGAATACTCTTACAAGAATGATGAAGCAGTACGAACAAGCTTCTACCAAAGTAGTCATCACTAATGGAATCAAGGAGTTCGACCAAACTTATCTTTCACTGAAGTTAAAGGAAGAGGAAATTCTTGCACAAGCGAAATGCCGAAAAGATTATTATCAAAAGCACAAATTTGATAAAAGAGATAAAGAATTTAAGAAAAAGGTTAAAGAGATAGATGAGTTTCACCAATCGATCCAGAAAATGTCAAACCAGATGGTCCAAATGATCCAGCAGAAGGATTTGGCTACTAAAATGGTCAGAAAAGACATCAAGAAGAGAAAGAGAATACTGAAAACCTTGGTTGAAAACTCTGCTGCTTTAGAAAATTCCCGCTTAAATTTTAAAGATATGGATTTAAACTACCTCCAGTACTCTCCCAACTCACCTCCAGCTTCTCTCAAAATAAGCAAGGAGGTGAATAACCTGATGAATGAAAGAGCTGGGCTTCTTAATATCCAAAAGGAGCTAAAAGAGAATATAAGATACCTGGCTGCTCAAAAGCAGCAAATTAATGCTGAAATCACTTATGAGGATGAATCCCTACTGAATCTCGAACAAAAGCTCAATTCATTTTCAAAAACATTCAAAAAGAATCTGAGATTAACAGAATCAGTTGATCTAGACCAATCCAAGCTAGAGAACTTTCTGAGCATTGAAAAAGATGCAAAAGAAGAACTTCTTTGAGAAGTCAGCCAGACCAAAGAACGCATCAGAAAAATCCGTAATAGCAACCCCATTGATATCTTAGGTAATCTTTCATATGTACATCATCAACTTAAAACTAGTTGTATCTTAGTATGAGGTATTATATACTCTTTATAGTCTTTCAAACTTGCCTCTAAGTACTCTGCTTACTCTGTTCTAGACTCTTTAAACACCAATGAGAGCAACTCTGTCACTTTTGAGTTTGCCGAAGAAATAATCGATCAACAAGAATCATCTGAAACCAATACTAAGCTTGGAGGAACTAACGAAGACGTTTATGAAGAAAAATATGATGAAGAACTTAGATACAAGTGGAGAAATCCTGAAAGCAATGAAAGTAAGGAACCTAGTTCGATAAGGTCTCATACTTCTTTGCTATTTTTGCTGTATTCTAAGTGAGCTTTTAATGCTGCCTCACTTAATATACCTTCCTTTAGCCATCATTTTTCCCTCTTTAATTACTCAAGAGAATCTACCAGTTGTAGTTCCAAAATTCAGCATGGATTATGCTTCCTGTCAATGTCTAATTTCGAAAGTATATGTTCCAAAAATGGCAAGGAGACCTCAAAGATCACCTCAGGCTAAGAATCAGCCCGGAACCGATGACAACGAGCATGATTTCTCAATCGGGACTATGTCCCAGTGGCAGAACAATGATTTTGAGGAGATACCTGAAGTCCCTGAGGAAGCATCAAGTGCAAACATTACCCCTCGCAGAATGGAGGAGGAAGATGAAGAAATCCTCAAACTTGCAGAGGAAGGTAGAAACCCTTCTCCTTTGTTTGAAGGCAAAAAATCAAATGAAATTTTCGAAACAAGAAAATGTTTCTTTGCTACTAGCCGTCTTCAGACTATTCCTAAGTTCAATATTGATAGAGAAATTGAGCTCCCTCAAGATGCTGAGATGAACATTAGTGTCCTCTCGTCTTTCGAAGGGAGTCCAGAGGAGGATCCGAATGTTCTATCAGCTTGTGATCTCTCTTTTACATCGAATAATTTACAGAATATGAATACTTCTGAAAATATTTCAAAGCCACCAACAAAAGTGCCAGTGTTGAATCTGGGTAAAATGAAGACAGCGAGTAATATCGGGCACAAGCCTAAGTTATCTCTAAACCTCAGTGCTATTAGCGTAGCGCAGAGTGCCAGTGATACCCCAAAAGAGACGATTCCTAACCCTGCCTTCTTTAAAGAATCTAAGCGGTCTAGGAACAATGAGCACCAGCGCTATAGCAGCAAGAATACTTATGCAACGACACTAAATAGTGCGAAGAAGGAGGAAGGAAGTTTATGAGACTCCTTCATAAAAGATGCTAACATGATTGCTGAAATTTTTGAGAGCCAGCACACCCGAAAGGTAAGCAACCTTGAGCTTACTTTTGAAAAGTCTGATGACCAAGAGGAAGGATCCAAAATGGATCCTCTCAGACTTATCAATTTGCCAACAGGAAAAGCCAGGTTCTCTGTAGCCCATTGGAACTTCGGGTCCAGAAGACTTAAACACTAACTAGCGCTAACAAAACAATACTAAAGAGGAAGCTTTCCACCCTAATTCATTTAACTATAATTCAAACCCTTTAGCAATAATTGGGGTTTTGGGGTTTTGGGGTTTTGGGGTTTTGGGGTTTTGGGG